TATAATATATAATTATTATATTATACAAAATAAAAATATTATAATTAATACATTATGTAGTTGTGTGTAATACACTATAATAGATAATAATATTAGAATTAAAAGATTATATTAATATATAATTATATTAATTATTATATTATTATTAACATAATGAACATAATTATATTAATACTATATAATATAATTATACTATAATATTATGTAATAAAATAATTATATTAAAATTATTTGTATAATTGTGATATTATTTGTTAAAATATTAGAACTATATTATATTATATCATATTATTATATTATATTATATTATTATTATATACTATATTATAAGATATAATTACGTTATAATATATTTTACATATTATTATAGAATATTAAATACATCTATTATAATTTATAACTATATTACAAGTTACTTATTATATTATTATAACTATATTATATTATAATATTTTTATTGTATATTATATTATATTACATATTATAAGATATAATTGCTATATAATATATTTTAGTTATATTATAATATTGAAGAGTAATTATGAAAGGAAAACAAATAAAATAACTTGGAATGGCTATTTCTCCCATGCGATGAAGAAATGATTATTCACCCAAAATGACTGAAAGACCATTCTTTTCTTATAAATTCAACCAAACATCAAACTTGAATTTCATTTCATTCTATTCATTTCCTTTCCACCCAACCAAACACACCTTAAGGGTGCGTTTGGTTATAGTGGGGGAATGATAATGGGAATGGGAATGAGAATGATAATGGGAATAGAATGAAAAAGAAAGTTGATTCATTTGTTTGGTTGTAATTTTAAGAATTCCCTATAATGAAACATGAATATTTTCATGTTGACAAACTTACCCTTATGCTATATATAACACTAATATTTTATCTATCATTATAATATATAAAATGTAATATAATATAATAAAATTATTATTATATAATTTTGATATATAATATAACAATATAATTAAAATTGTTAATATAATTATAATATTATAATATATAAAATGTAATATAATATAATAAAATTATTATTATATAATTATGATATATAATATAACAATATTATTAAAATTGTTAATATAATTATAATATTATAATATATAAAATGTAATATAATATAATAAAATTATTATTATATAATTATGATATATAATATAACAATATTATTAAAATTGTTAATATAATTATAATATTATAATATATAAAATGTAATATAATATAATAAAATTATTATTATATAATTATGATATATAATATAACAATATTATTAAAATTGTTAATATAATTATAATATTATAATATATAAAATGTAATATAATATAATAAAATTATTATTATATAATTATGATATATAATATAACAATATTATTAAAATTGTTAATATAATTATAATATTATAATATATAAAATGTAATATAATATAATAAAATTATTATTATATAATTATGATATATAATATAACAATATTATTAAAATTGTTAATATAATTATAATATTATAATATATAAAATGTAATATAATATAAAAATAACTACTATATAATATATTTTAATTACATTATAATATTGAAGGGTAATTATGGAAAAAAATAAAAAAAGAATTTGGAATGACCATTCCTTCCATATGAGGAAGGAATGATGATTCACCCAAAATGAGTGAATGGCCATTCATTTTGAATGATCATTCCTTTATTTTAAATCCATCCAAACATCAAACTAGAATTTCATTTCATTCTATTCCATTCCCTTCCACCCAACCAAACGCACCCTAAGGGAAAAAAAATATATTTAAATCCCATTTGAAAATTATAATGAAGTTGTTGTTGTTGTTATTATTATTATTATTCCCATTTAAAAATTATAATGAAGTTGTTGTTGTTGTTATTCTTATTATTATTATTCTTCTTCTTATTATTCTTCTTATTCTTATTCTTATTCTTATTATTATTATTATTATTATTATTATTATTATTATTATTATTATTTTGGAGTGGTATTTGCATTCATGGGATAAAAGGTCCAAACACTTTTGGTGCCACATTTCTCTAAAAGAGCACTAAAAAATAAAATTAAAAGAGAAAATTATAGATTTTACCTCATGAAGTACATGACTTACTAAAAATATCTCTTTTAAAAAACTCTACTCCTTGACTAGTTTTAGTTTAAAAGGAAATATGAGCTAATGTTAAAGAGTATAAATAAAAGAGAGCTCTATTTCAAGAGGTATTCCTAAAAATTGCCCTAAATAAAAATTGTGATTAAAAATGAAGAAAAAAAAGTTATAAATTATAGTTCCAAATTATCTGATCATGAAGCTTGTATCATATTTTAAAAAAGTGAGGCATTCTTTTGAAAAAACAAAATCAAATCTTATAATGTAATGATGAAAAATTGACGATTTCGATTTTTTTTTATAACAAAACGTCCTTTTTTAACGCTTTTAAAACTACACTTATAATATGTATATATATATATATATATGTATATTTCATACCCTACCATAAAATTCTCTAGATTTAGAAAGAGTATTAAAAGAACACTCCACCGTTATGGCTCAATTCTAAACAGTCAGATTTTCATTTTTTTATTAAATCATCATATTTTTCTTAATCTAATATGATGTTAGCGGGCTATATGGTTTAAAAATGTGTCTTATAATAGAATTTTTCTTTTATCTTTTAACGAATTAACCTTTGTCCCCTTTTTTCTTGTTTTTTCGGTAAATTTTTTTATTTCAGATTTTATGCAAAATGTCTTAAAAAGTTTTATTTACACTCTTAATTTTTTCCTTTAATTTAACTTATTGTTTCATATATATTTTCTTATATCCATATAGTCAAATTTAACCACTCAAATAAATAAAAAAAATGATTTTTTATGAAGAAAAAAAGCTATATATAAATTAATAGAAAACAAAATAAAGGGATAAATAGTAAAAAAAAAATTAAAATTTTAGTATTTATTACCGTGTTAATTTAGTTCAAAATTTTGATTATATATACGAACGCCCCTAAACAAAATTTTATGTTCTGTCTTGAGTACAAAGACACGTAATGAAAGTGAAATGGATTTAGTCCCATTCAAGAGTAGGTTGAGTATACATTTTTGTTTTAGATAGTTAATATAAGCTTTATGAAATTTTTAGTCTGGTTTCTGTTGATTCTGTTAGCTGGACGGAGTTTCTTTCTCACTAGCTATCCCGCATTGTCGTAACTAATCTTTCTGCTAGTTTATAAATTGGTTTTTCCCTAAAAAAGGATATATATATATATATATATAAATACGTGAACATGTACTTTGTGCTAAAGTCTTTAATGTTCGCTTCAAACACATAACAATTGTTTTTTATTCGATTGTTTAGATTCTTAAAAACAACCGAGTTTATTTGAACAATTGACTTTCAACCTTATAAGAGTCTCATTTATTTAACCCCACATTCAAAGATAGCATGGTAAAGAAAATAAACTGTAGAACAAAAAACACAAAAAGGAAGGTTGGTTGTGTCTTCAAATCAAAAGATTAATGGGGTAATTCATCATTATAAAATCCACAAAAAGATGCATTAGACTCTTGCAACTTGAAATGAAAATGTCCCTTTAAACCCGATCAACAATGTTATAATGTTATAATCAATATGCTAAATGTCAACAACAATGACATGTTACGATTCTAGCATTAATCTAAGAAATTTTCGAAAAAATTCATCCATCCAAGATTTGCAGATGAATTTAACATATAACAAATAACTAATTATGAAGTTTTAGTTTTCAATCAGGTGAATATGAAAATATTAAACCACGCCAGCTTTGTTGTATTATATTACTAATCCCACGAACTCTTTTTAATATGTCCTGAGAATTTATGCCACCACAAATATTGGTTACATTATTTAAATAATTATGAAATTTTTGCTTACAATTTCAAGTGAATATACAAAATCTTAAACTACACCACTTTAATGTTTTTTGCGTTGAAAATGATATTTACGTGATTGAATTTCAAGCACTCATTGGTTCCTCCAATAAGGATCTCTTGTTGACGGTATTCCCCAACATATAATTAATGATTTGCTTGCTGCTCAACACATGAAATCTTCTTAATCAAACTCACCTCGGTTTGACTAAAACAACCACATTAATATTTACGCAATCAAATATCTCCCCTGATGAAAATCAACTGGAAGTCAGAGTACAATTTTAGAATGATCACCATAAGATGATAATATTAGAGCTTATTCGGTGGTACTTCTTAATACGATAACTTATTTTGATGAAAAAAAAAAAGTTTGTAAGTTGTAAAAGTATCTGTATTTCAAATTGGAGGCGTACTTTGCATGGAGTGACAGTATTGACGTAGACACCGTATATACTTTCGTACAAAATTACTACAAATATAACGGGGGGATAAAGAAGAAATTTTCCTCTGAGGGGGAAAAAAAAGCAATAAGATTGATGAACGAAGTTAGAAACTGGCCTGTCGCCTAATTACTCATGTCTATGACCCACTAAGTTATTCAAATTATGATTATGGAGTTATTAATTGCATGCAAAGCAAATTGATGGGACTCAATCGAGAGTCGTTTTTAAAATTCTGTTTTCCATAGACTTGAATGATTCAATGATTGATGAATTACTAAGCAAATTTACGATAAAATCCCAAAACTATATAATGATATTACTATATAGTCTAGGGATCTTGAGTCAATTAACCAAGTGTATGCAATTACCCATCTGATCTAACACGTACATCAGGCAATTATTAGGCGATTTAATTTAAATTATGGTTTCAAAGGCCTATTTGGAAAAGGGAAATTGTAAACCATCAAAATTACCATCTTAAAAGGATCCATCAATTAGTTCAGCTCCTTTTTTTTTTTTTTTTGTCGCTTAAATATATATATAAAAAAGATCAATATCATCTGCATATTATAGAAAAGCGAGATCAATGCAAACAAAGTCACAAGTAAATTGTAAGCATCATTTGTGCTGCAGGTGAGTACTCTACTTATATTAAGCATTTATATATCACAAACGTAAACTCCTTATATTTCGTTCGATTCACACACAATGATTAGGCGCTCACCTAATTTTAACAAATATTTTCCCGTTAATTGGAGTGTTACAAATTCTTTTAAGAGTATTACAAGACTCTAGAGTTGCTAACAAATTCCTACGAATAGAAAATCATATTGTTTCCTCTTTTATATTTTAATCGGAGACTCGTAATTAAGAAAAGGTATATCATGAATTAAGCACACATACTTAATTTGATGGTCAATTTTAGAAAATTCACACGAACTAATCATTCTTTCAAGCCATAAAAGGTTAATATGATGTATCTTATTAACGAAACATGTATCATTAGTAAGTAGTTAATCAATCACAAAAAAAAAAAAAAAGGGTAAAACAAGCACGAGAGCTTCGATAGTTTATTTACTTCTAACTACAAATTTCATGACAAATCTAACCTTGAACTGGATCTTTAGATCTCCAAGCAAAAGTAGATATATCTTCTAACTTGAAAATCCTTTTTTTTTTTTTCAACAAGTTGTTTGATCTTATTTCTTCTGTCCTTAAGGCTTTTTTTTTTTTTAAAAAAATTTTTGACCAACACTTAAACAGTTGTCTAATTAGTTTTATGTTTATTTTTTCTTGTTGCTAAACAAATACTAGACATCTATTTGTTCGAAAAGAATTAACAAGTTAATTCCACTATATTATTTGAAGCCAAAATTATAACTATTTTTAAGAGACATGACGCCAATTTTTTTTTTTTTTTTTTTTTTTTTTGTTAGAAGACAAGATGCCAAATTACAGTATAGATCATTATAACTTTTAATTAGTGCTGGCAATATGTATATATCGTTGCCGCCTGGTGACAGCTTTTTCCTTCTCCTAATCATGCGAGTTAAGACTGATTAAGGAGCACACATCAACCACAATATGATGTGGAAGGTGTACCCAACAAAGGTAGTATTCTGAATTTTTTATTATTTGCCAACCCCACATAGAGAATTCACAAAAAATTAAAAAAAAAACCACAAAGAGAAATAGAAAAATATTAACGTAAGCAAATCATATTAAATAATGTAACGCCAAAAATTTAATTAGTTTATTTTATTATTGTTAAAAAACACAAGAAGAGCGATTCCTTGGGCCAGCCAACAGTTAAAGCACCTTAAAAGTGCTATTAATATAGAAAGTGGCACAAGTAAAACGAATGTGTATTGTGTAAGGAGAAAGAAATACCCGTCTCTACCTGCCCAATTCGGTGGTATATGTACGAATGTCTCTGTATGCTTCGGTACACAACAAGGTATTTGTACATTGAGAACACCCAGGCCCATGATGTATGAGAATGGGTGGGAAAAGTTCAGCCTTTATTACAATACGAGTATATATGTTTATATACGGAGATATTCACCTTTTTATAAGGATTTATTCAAAAATTATACTTTTAATTTTTTATCTTATTAAATATATATCTTCAAATTAGATATAATATCCAAATTTATACATTCCACAGTTAATCCTTGATTTTAACTTTAAAATACCTAAAATACCCTTAAATAAAAAATAGAAAAAAAAAACTAAAAAGCCTTAAACTTATAGTTTTAACCTCAAAAATATACAAAATACAATTGAAATGGATTTTTTTGCGTTCTAAATTTTTATTGTTTAATATTAGAAAGTTTTAGTTTCTTTTCTCTTTTTTTTTTTAAGATAGTTTGGTTATTTCATCTCATATTGTCGGCATTGATTCTTACTCCAATGGCTATTTCTCCTTTTACATTAGTTTTCTTCTTCTTCAAACAATCGGAAAAATATTAAAATAGCTGTAACTTCACTATCTCATTTTCTATTTAGATAATAATATATTATGTTAGTGAAGTTTACGTGTCAAACAATAAATACACAGAGTAACAAATAGAATAACATTTCTCTTGTCATGATATGGCTTTTCTCTGTAACTTTCAAATTCATTAAAGCCGTCATTTATGTTAAACCTAATAGGTATCCCATTTCATTGTATCGATGTTGTTTCATACTCTAACGGTTATTCTCCTTTTACTGTAGTCTTTTTCTCCAAACAATCGAAGATTTAAGATACCTATAAGGAAAGCACTCTGATGCTTAAGTTAGAAAGAATTTAATACAGGTCACCAAAATTTCAAAGAGCAAAAAATGGTACATTTGTTCATTTTTTGAAATAAAAAATACATAGGGTCTCACATTTCCTTGTTTTGAATTTGATTCGTTGAATTAAAGGATCTCAATATAATCTAAACAAGATCAAACCATTAATTTAGTCATAAAACCGAAAATACCATAAAACTTATGTGGCATTTAACCATACATTCACATGGTAAGGAAGATTACCTCTTCCGACAGGTAGTAGAAATAAGTTGCCCATATGACCGGAAAAAGTTAGTGGCTGGCCGAAATTTAGTGGAGAACCTGCAGACAAGAGGAAGGTTGCCAAGGTGCTCTTGAACTCCTCCCTATCTCTTCCTCTCTTCCAAAATGTTCAGCCAAACACAATAGCCACACCAACATAACAAAAACAAGAGGGTGTGTTGACCATATAAAACCAAATGGGCCTATTGCTCCTATTTCAGCAACACTAAATTAGAGAGATATTTGGTCTAATAGGGTGATTAAATTATTGTGAGATAGAAATAGTTCATATGCTTTAAATTAGTCAATAAACTGAGTGTCCATCTTTATAGACCGATATTTAGCATACATTATTTGTTAATTAACATTAACACAATTGTCTATAAAATGCTTTAATTCATAATAGAGTGAATTATTGTGATTATAAAAGCCCACATAAAAATACTCTAACATTCCCTTCAACCTAAGATGGTCCTCCTTTTTTTGAAGCAAAAGAACGTGGGCAAATATTGATTTTGTAGGCGTTTTGTACGTTTGATGAATAAGTATTGATAACTTCCGTGGCCATCTTAGAAAGAAGAAACTAGAGTATATAGAATGTACAAAAATGACTACAAGTGAGTTTCTATTATTTGTATTAAGTAATCTCTCCAATCAAGCACTAACTTTGCAAGGGCAATTTTCAAGTAAAAAGAAAAGATAATTCTTTAACAGTGATATAAAAAGTATTTCCGATTGGTAGGATTGTTTTGATTTGAACTACTGGATCTTTTATGAGATTTCCTTGATTTTACATATATATTTATTATTTTTCATTTTGGTATGTTTTTTATCAAATTTAACGCCCATAAACATACTCATTACCTATAACATTATTCTACCATAAAAAGTTTGGAGAAAGTGGTAATCTATTCAGCTTCATTTAATTGTCAATTTACCACTTTAAGTTATTCTCACCCTTTTTAACTCCAAAAGGGTGAACCTAAAGGCTGTGTCCTTGTTAAAAAAAAAAAAAAAAAAAAAAAAAAAAAAAAAAAAAAAAAAAAAAGAGTAAAGTGAATCTAAAAAAGGCTTAAAACTTCAAACTTGAAAACCAAGAGGGAAAAGGGAAGGATTTTTAGGAACCCCACTAGGCCACAACGGCTAGCTTCATATAATTCGTTTATAATAAGTCCAAAGCGCAACCGACCACAACCAACTTTTTCCAGCTTGGCTCTGAGGCTCTCCACCACCACTTAGATCCTTTGCTTCCTCAACTTTCTTCAAACCCTTTTTCTCCCCCTTAAAAGCTCTTCTTCATCCCATTATGTCTTCACCAAAATTCTTCCCCAAGTATTCGACAAAATGCCGAAGAAAAGATTGCCCATCTTTCGGATCAAGTTCGCTAAGATCCTCAAAGTTTCCATTTTTGTTGCCAAGATGAGAAAGCCAGTTATTCCTAGACTTGTTCTGTTTAGGAAATCTCAAAGGCTAAGAAAGTTCGAGCTTCTTCGCAACAAGCATTACAACTATGGATTCATCTCGGAATACGAATTCTCGCCTTCGAAGGAGTTGAGGTTGAATAATTACCATGGAAGGCTTCAAAGAGTGTGTTATTCGATACAATTTCTCTGCAGATGTTTGCGAGGTGAAGGAGGAGATTTTGGAGATTTACCTCTGCAGCTTGAAGCTCTACCTGCAGCCGTTGATCATGATCAAGATCGTGTTATAGCTGGGGCTTTGTTTAAGCCATTGGATTGGGGTGATGGTGATGGTGATGCTGGTGCTGATGAAGGAGAAGATTCTATCGATTTGCGTGCTGAGAGGTTCATCGAGAGGTTCTATGAAGAGATGAGAATGCAGAGACAAGCGTCACTGTGAAGATGGAATCGATTTGTTGATTGTTTGATTGGTTCATTGTTTTTTCTTTTTCAGTGTTGTTTTGCTGGTTTAATTGTTCTGTAATTCTGTTCTCCACGAGATTTTTGTGATTGTGGAGATTTTTTTTTTGGCAGTTTTTTTATTTATTTATAAATATTGTGTGAAGGATTAAAAATTTTGTATTCTGGAAGCAGACGACGCAAAGTAGTTCAAACAAAAATCAAGTATTTTTTTCATTTTTATTGAAAAATCGCCTAAAGGAGAAAAGAATAGTCTACCGTATGGAATTTTTCAGTCAAAGGATCTCAAGAATAGTTGACGATAATCTATATATATATATATATATATATATGATTCTATAGGTTTCTTGGTCAATTGGACCTATAAAGAGTTAAAAAGTATTGAAACAAGTGACAAGAGTATGGATGTATTATAAACTGATATTATTTTTCCATTTTTTGTCAGGCTGCACAGTGAAGAAAACGAAACCTTTGGACATTTTACTAGTCAAGTGTGAATAGATTCTATGCACCAAAACTAGGCCAGACCTGGTCCCCGGCAAAAAGGTAATTCACTACCAAAGTTGACTGGAGAGAAATTCCAACCGAACGACACTGGAAAAATTCACGCGCCAAAATTGGCCTAAAGACTTTACCCATTAATTACCCAACTGAAGCATATCAAATATATGTACTGCAATGTGTATATATACCAACTGAACCACGGAGACGCGTTAGGACTTCTCACACGTGCATAAAAACGGAAGTTTCCATGGCAATGTCATCATACGTTTTCTTCTTAAAGGGTGCGATTTTCTTGAGATCCTATAGTTGAAAACCCAATAACAATAATAAGAAATTAATTAGGGTCCGCATTACGGTTATAGAAATGAAATGTGGCTTAAGTTTAAGAATATCTCATCAATGACTTAATTCTATAATGATATTTAAATAACATATACATTATTGACTTCATAATGATATATTAGCTTTTCACGTAATCTAGATATTGCTCTACTTTTTTTTCCCACATTTTGTGGGATATCTACCTTTTTAAAAAATATGAATCCTCAAAATAAAGAAATTGAGATATCATTAAATCACAAATTAATTAAATTGATTTGTAAGTTTTAAATTCAAACTATCAAACTGTCGGCATCAAATTAATATCAGTATTTAACTACCAAAATCTTTCTAGCTCATGTCATTAAAATACATACAATATCATTATAAATACGATCAAAAGCGGCATCAGTGCCCTTGTTCTTGATAAACAATTGTTTTACCCCATGTCATTAAAGTACAAGCAACGTTATTATCAAAAAGACCAAAACACTGGTATTAGTACTTATTAGCCGAAATAGTGGATAATACAAAATGAGGAACAAGTTAAGGAAGAACAAAACTGAAATTCATACAATTGTAATCCAACCTTGTTACCAAAACTCAGAAATAAGAGTTGCAAAGATGTCGAGGCACGTGAACAACATTTTCTTTAAAACAGATTCGTCCCCTCCGGTGAGTGCTTAAGGTTACGTTGGACGTCCGTCTCTCAGGATGCAACGACAACGACGGTAGCCCGATGCACTTTCGGAACCGTCCGGCGAACTAGAACTAGAACTTTCCTCTATCACCAAAACGGAACTAGAAACACAAGAGAGACTCGTAAACAGAAAGGCAAGAAGTCGAGAGAATGAGAGAAGAGTGCTCCTCCGATGTGTCTTTGTTCATGTGGAGTATGCCCTTATATAGGCTCCAAAATCTGGGTGTTACAATCCAGATTTAATCCCGGATTAATGGTGTTAAACACAGCCATTACCCTCCAATAATATGGAGCAAAACGGTATGAATTCCCATGATGAATCTGGGCACATATTGCATATTAATTTAGTTTTTGATGATAAAAAACTGAAGCCATAAAACTTAATTCGGTTTGCTTACATTGATCACCATTAAGCCCCCATTATGCTCATTTACCAGCCTTTAAGCACAGATTTATGCTAAAGTCAAACGGCTGGAAGGACTTGGCTGAATTAAAAATAAAAATTGTAAAAATAAGTTCGCACGGAGCGGGTTTTTTGGTCCGGTATTCATCACATTAGGCCCCAAACCCACTAGGTTTGTGATTCACACCCCCCTGCATGTGAGAGAGTCTCTTTGACATACATACTTACTTAAGTTTCAAAGTGCAATCACTTATAAACACCACCTTGACTTTACTCCTAGCCAATGCGGGTTTTTTACAATTTTTTTTTTACATTTACCATTCCAAGTAATAAACTTAGACCATCAATTTCTCATTCACCCAAAAACCATTTTGAGTGTATGAATACTCGATTTCGATCCCCTCGCGACGGAGAACGCAAATCCATCGATACCCGTCCTAAAAATCTATTGAGCCCCATCCGAATATGGGGCTCAAAATGGGCCTTTAAAATGGCTTAACAAACCATTTTTCCAACAATCCCCCACATGAATGAAAATTGACCGACGACAAGAAAAACATAGACTCGACACGGTGATAGAGTTCTGTGGTTTGTGGTAGTTTAAATGCTTGTTTTATATACTAGCAAAAAAATGCTTGTTTTATATTTTCGTAGGGCTTGTTTGTAATTTCAGTGTCATAATGACATTGTAAGTAATTTAATGACATTATTGCCTACTAACTGGTAGAAAACTATATTCTACGGATTATTGTCTTGCCAAATTTTCTTTTTTCTTTTTTCTTTTTTCTGGTGAATGTTGTCTTGCCAAGTTTAGTGTATATACATTTCGATGATGCATGATATTATGATATTTTGTTGTATAATTGATGTTACATCATAACATAATGACATTATAAGTAATATAATTGATACTACATTATAATTTGGTATTACTTCACGTTATCGTATGCCGAGTAATTAAAATTTCAAAATTGGGATTAATAACTTAATAAACTTGGATTTCAAATAAATTATTCTAAAAATTCAACTATGAGAGATATATGGAAGTTAGTTACCACAATAAAAGCATGACAAAATCAACTCAAAGGGTACTTTTGGGTTGTCAAAAAATATAGTTGAAAAATAGGCCATATAAGTAATATTTGTATGACCAAATCATATTTTAATTCAACTCTTAAAAAACAGTCAGCAATTTTTATTAAGGTTATGTTTGCATAATGGTACGGTTGAAAAGTACAGTTTCCAGGAGTGGGGGTTTAATAATATCTTACAAAGTAGAACAATTTTGACAAATTGGCCATTAATTGACCAATGTCAACCAACAAGAGGAGGATGTGGTCGGCTTATGTTTCTTAAATTATGGAACGATGAAGTGTTTCCCGGAATGGACACAAATGATGTCCAATTGCTATATATCACTCCAACACGTCATTAAATTAAAGAATATGGTATTAGAACTCACATATAGATAAGAGAGAGTAGGATATTTTATGCCTTCTTTAAGCTCAAATTCTTTGAGGCCACCAGAAATATGACTTTTAGCTGACATTCATATATGATCTGTTAAATGAATTAGGGATCTGTTAAATGAATTAGGTTTTTTTTTCGCTTTTTTTTTTTTTTTTTTTTGGGAATCCTTGCAACTTTTGAATATGGCCGGTAATATGGATCACAACTTAAAAACGACACAAAATTCGCGGGTTAGGGTTAAAAAAAAGATGTTCGGGTCAGAATTGGGTCGACCTAAAATTATCACGAAAACACGGGTCAATTCGGGTTAGACCCGCCTAATCCAAATACGACACGAAACTCATAAAAAACTAAAAAATACATGTATTTTCATTACATATTTTATATTTTATTATGAACTTGTGATATAATGATAGTTATACTCAAAATCTTATACTATTATTTGCTTAATTTTAATGGATGTTATTGTATGTTAGTGTGTTATGAATTTTAAGTTATTTCTAATATGTAAAAAAGTAAATAAAAGTATATAATTTTCGTGTCAATTTCGGGTTCACGGGTCAATTTCGTGTCACGGTTCATTTTCGTGTCATGTCGTGTCAACCCGTAAAGTGGTCGTGTCGTGTTCGTGTTACGGTTTTTAAAAAATTTCGTGTCACGGGTTGTGTTCGAGTTGACTGCAAATTTAAAAAGAAACAATCAAAACACGACACGAACACAACACGTGACTCGAATTGATACCTCTACTTTTAAAGATTGAGGGCATGAGAATAAAGAGAATAATTTTCCTGGTTTTTCTCTATATCTTTTCTTTTGATAATTATATATATATATATATTGGTTATTAGCTCTATTAATTCCTAAAATGAGAATATTGCGTCATTTTGATCCCTAAACTTTTCTATTTAGAAGATTACTCCCCTAAACTTAATTCTTTTTCAGTTTTAGCCCATGACATTAAAATTAGCATTAGATATATGAAATTTAAGAGGGACAACCACCTCGCAATCGTTTGTTACTATCATATCTTCATATCACGTATTTTTTGCTATCAAATGAAAACGCTTTGTCTTTTCTTTCAATGTTAAAGTTTCTTTATTCTGAACGCACAAAATTATAATATAATATGATTTTTAAAAGGATAATATAATGTTATTAGTAACTCGAAATAAACTATTATTCGTAATTCATTATTGTGTGTTTAAAAGGACAATATAATGTTATTAGCAATTCATTACTGGTGTGTGTAATAAGCATGTAGAGACTATCTCCAATAGAAATGTTGTATTTGTCATTAGGAAGTGTGTAATTGACATATGTAATGTGCAATATGTTATATTATTATGTATCCTAATGCATACATTATTTAAATGTTTATTTTACTTTTTGTCATGGCTATTAAGGAATTGTTTTAAGTCTGGTACCCGAACGCATGTATAGCTTTTTTATATAGCTATGTAATATTGTTTGTAGATGGGTGTAACACTTAATTTGTCTTTAGTGTAACATTCAATATATATACCTTAATACATGTAACATTGAGTGTTACACATACATTTTAAAAAATTACACATAAATAAATAATGTCAAGTGTGTAAAAAAAAAAACTACACGTATTTGACTAGTCCGAGTGTTGAACTGAAGACTTTACTTAACTATTAAACTTTTTGAAACTCTTAAAAGTAAACTTTTAAAGTTAAAAATAATTTTTAAAAAACGATGTAATATTTAAAATGAAAAGATCAATATTTCAACCAATAATAATTAAATATTAATTTTTTATGCGCTATATTTAGTATCAAATTTGTCACAGAATGTGTTCAACTTAATATAAAAAATAATATTGTATTAGAGTGTAATTTTTTCTTTTTAAATGCCAAAATGTGATGTTGATACATCAATTTCACATTGTATTGGAGATGCTTTAATAATTGGTTGAACGGGCCACTCCATTTATAAAGGAGATTGTGTCATCATTCCTAAGGAAAATTATATTTGCACTTACTAAATTCATTAATGTCACCACTAAATTATCATTTATATTTATTACAATTATACCTATATAAAATTACATTAAAACCCAGCAATATACCCCCATATTAACTATAAATAGAAATAATATTTTTTTCACATTAATAAAAATTATACACCCACATTAATTATAATTAGAAAATATTTTTCAAAAGAATAAAAATACCGAGATTCTCTGGTATGTCTAACGTACTGATATATTAGATTTTTCTTAACCGTTAGATCTGCGTACTTCTTAATTTTTACGTAATTTTATGCAGATTTGATGAACATAAAATTTAACCTATTAGTATGTTAACGTACTGGAGAAAATCTCACCAACATCATTTGTTACTCTAATTTCTTCTTCATAAGAGATTCTTACTATATCGATGATTTTTTCTTCTGTGATTCTATTTTATTGAAATGTGATAAATAAAAAAAGCATATTTTTTAAAGTTTCAGTACGAGCGTTCTTGCTCTTGTTTAAAGATTCATACTTAATATAGCAATGTGGACACTCAAAAGCTAATAACAAAAAAACGTGTAGAACTATATTGAATAAAAGCAAAAAAAACAATCACTCAATAAAACTATAACCCATTGAGCACGATAAAAAAAAAAGAACACAATAATTAAAAAAAGATGTTTGACAAATAAAAAAACAAAAATAATGAATGAATTACAATAATTTTAAAAAGGAATGAAAGTGATTTACTATTTTGTAAATTAAATCAAGCTTAAAGCTTAACGTTAGAGTGGGGGTATGAAATGAGAATGTTAAATTAGGTATTACAAAAATGATAATCTAAAAAGAATATACTATTCAAATCTTTATTAGAAGAATATTAATTGTTGGGAGTATCTATGAATTTTAAAGAAATTGTGCTGGGTGATCTTTTTTAATAATCTATTTTTATAAATAGTTGAACTTTTTTTATTTTATGAAAATGATCGTTTTGTTTACATTATTAACTAATGTTGATTAATAATAAAAAATAATTGAATCAATCCGTAATAAATTTAAGTCAATCATTAATAAACTTAAGTCAATTAGTGATTAACTATTGAGTCAATTAATGACTGACTTTGACTCCGTAAACGACGGGCTGGACAGCTCCCAAGTCCGGCGCGACGGTGACTTCTTTAGTAAAAAGGTTTGGACACAACCATTCCTATCAGCTTCCGTTGAATCCTAGGGACCGTTTGGTTGTGTAAACAAAATTGGACAAAATTAAGATTTGAATAAGTTGAAAAATAAGGGCCATTACATTATGATTTTGTATACTTTCTTCTGCAAAGAAAATTCCCAAACGAATTTTGTCCTATATAATATTAATAGGAAAGTAGAAAATAAAAAACAACATATATTGTTTTCATAAATCCAACTACCTATAGTTTAAGACTGTTTGTTTTAGTGGCATCGAGAAATTGAGAAGTAGATTATAGGTTCGGTCTCACATTATATATATATATATAAATCAAACTATCTGAAGAATGCATTCTAAAAGAAAAAACTAACTTTTGAATATACACAAATAAAAATACTATAGGCATTTAAAGATAATGCAAGGAGTGTTATTGTAATTATCTCATTTCTTTATTAGAAAATAATGCGCATAATTTTGTACCAATATTTAAGAAAATCTGATTTTTAATTTCTTTTAAAAGGCTGATTCTATTGAATTCTCCACACCCCATCTAAATACACACATAAAATTTTAAAATGATTTAGTTTACTTATACGCCCCTGTAATTCTAAATTATGCATAAAACTTTCACACAACCTCTTTTTTCTTTTCTAATAAATTTTCATACAATTATTATTTCTTAAAATGAAATCCAGAAAAATAGTTACCATTGCGTTTTAATTTCTCACACATCATTTTTTGCAGGGAGGACCAAATTGTTTAAATAAATTTGCATATGTAATGGTAAATTTACTTTTAAAAAAATGTAATAGTAAAGAGTGTTCTTGAATAAATTTTCAACAATAAAAAAGGAGACATATAGAAAAATGAGAGTAAGAAAATAAGAAAAAAATGAAATGATGGTTGTGGAAAGAAAAATGAAATGGTTTAGGGGTAATCTTATGGAAATATTAAGGTAATTTTCGAATTATGTGTGTATTAAGTATAAAATATTTCAAAACTGTATGAGTGTGTATTTAAAAAGTGTTGTGAAAAGTTAAGAGTATTTTTTTTATCGTTCAAGTAATGTTTTTAGTAGCACTAAAATATTATTTAAAATATTGATTTTAATTATTTTCTTTTATGCACATGTTATGTTAGACTCTTCAATTGATTGTAGTAATTACTAACAATCACAATAGTGCATTATGTCGTTACTTGCATAATAAAACTGATATTATTTCTAAATATGTTTTTTTATTAATGCTATAAAAATTAATCCATAATAATTATGAAATTTCCTTATGTTTATTCATTTTGAGACTAAGATGTGGTTCATCTAAATCTATTTTAAATTGACTGAACCTTATTATAATACTATTAATTAGAGGAGTTTACTCTGTTATTAAATAAAAATTACGTTTGTATTGTTTAGTCACATGATTAATTCCAATTTTGTCCCGTATATTAACTCTCTAGTGGTTTTTTTTTTATAAAGTTATGCTATCTTCCTTGAAGATGTATTATATTCATAGTCTAATCTACTATTCAAATATTCGAGAACATCTATTTTCAGAAAAAAAAAAAGAAAGAAACCCAGGACATCTAACATCTAAATATTCAGCCAAATTAGGGTTAGGGTTAAGGATTTTCCCCAATTTCACCTCAGACATTCGGAGAGAGAAGAGAGAGAATGGCGAAGGAGGAGTTTAGGATTTACAATTCGATGACTCAACAGAAGGAGATCTTGAAGCCCAACGTCCCTGGTAAGGTCGGAATGTACGTATGTGGCGTCACCGCCTATGATCTTAGCCACATCGGCCATGCCCGAGCTGCTGTCAATTTCGACGTCCTCTACAGGTCTCATAATTTTTTTTGTTCTTATTTGAAGTTCGATTTTTTTTTTTGTTTGCTGTGATTTCTTCGAGCTGCTGCAGATGATTTTGATTTCGTTTTTCTATCTATAAGATTTATTTTTGAGACTCTGAAGCTGCGTATGAAGCGTTCTGGAGAAATTTTACTTATTTTTTAAGGAAAAAAATAAAGCTTTTTTTGGTTGACTTATTTGTTGGATCTGAAGTTAATTTACTTGATTTGAGATTGTGCAGATATTTACAGAACATCGGCTATGAAGTCACGTATGTTCGAAATTTCACAGATGTTGATGACAAGGTGCGTTTTAGTTGAAGCCAGTTGTCCAGATCTTGTATTTTAATTTGTGGAACGGTTGGAACGGTTTTTTTTTTTTTTTTTTTTTTTTTGAGCGTAGTCAAAATAGAATGCGAGATATCATTAGCTTGGATTAGGTTCCTACCGACAATGGTTGCTATAAGATTTTGTTACATTCTTAATGTTGTTCTGAAAGACTTGCGAGGTTGGTTTATTTATTGTTTCTTTTAAGGAAAACCGTTTAGTGTTACTGTGCTTAGGATGATAAATGATAATTATTTGATGTATTTTTTTCCCTCTAAAAAAGTATTTTAACAACATAGGATTAGTAGGCCTTACCCGAGCCATCTTATTTGAGAGAAATGCTGCCCCTGGTTTTAATCAATCACAAATTCCCATGCTTATTCCAAACCCACAAGTTATTCCACAGCGTCCCACAAAGTTTTACATTAAAATCTATGAGTTTTTGATAATCAGTGGTGAATGGAGATCATTATCATCGGTGATACTCAGTACTGATTCTAATTTTTTGCTATACTCGTGAATGCATTCAGCAATACGCTACTGTAGAAAACTTTTCAGAAGGTGCCAATTGTTGTGTGATGGGCCCCCTAGACCTCCACTACGTTTCACTTATGTTAGGAGGAGGCCCAAACGCGGTCGAGGTGATGTGGCAGCAAAAGGTGTTGTGGAAGATGGTGAGGTGGAGGCTGATGTTAGAGGAAAATAGGCTGACATGGAAGGAGTGAAGAGAGTTGGAGAAAGAGTTGTTGCAGGGGATGCGTGATAGTCCAGATCTCGAGAGAGACCTCGGGAGAGGAGAGGGAAGTGGGAAACGGTTAGTGAGGAAGAAAGGAATAAAACCAGAAGCAAGAAGGCTGGGAAGGGTATCGAGATTGTAATTGAGTTTTCTTAGACGAGCCACTGCTCTAGGGAGTGCAAGGGGTCACTCGAACACCCCCATATCCCTTGTATTTCCTTCTTCAGTAAAGCAGCATTGATTTCCATTCCATTGTCTTGCATTGCTGTGTGAATTTACTACGCACTAGATCTGGTGTTATCATTGTGTTGGTAGCAGCCTAAAAGCTTAGAAAATTGCATTCATACAATAATTATATTTATAAGGCAATTATTAATGAAATTGGAAAGAATGAGCTTGGAGGAATTGCAAAAACTCCAGATCACAGACATGTATTGCTCTAGACAGTTGGGATGGGTTTGAAAGTTTTAATGTGGTTGACTATATGAATTGTTATAGTGCTTGGTTAGGATTCAGTATATCTTGTGTGCTTTATTGCTGAGACTGTATGTAGCATTTATAAGAAGGATGGATGAGAAGGGGAGAAAGGAACAGAAGAGGGTAGAAAATAGAAAAAGAGAGAGGAAACCTTCCAGGAGCTGTTTCTATTCTATGTTTGTTTTGATGCTTTGGTTTGGTAATAAATGCGTCATTCCACAAAAAAAAAAAAAAGGAAAAAAAAAATCTCAGCAACTTTGGTTCGTGCAATTTTAATGTTGGCGTATTAATCCCTGAACTTTTGTTTTATTTTATATTATTTGTTTTGGGCTTTTGGTTCCTAACACGCAATGGAAACATGATTACCATTGTTAAATTTTAGAAATTATCTGTCAATTTTTGTGTTAGAGACCAAAACTGCCAAAAAAAAGTTAAGGGATTAATTTGTCAAAAAAAGTTCAAGGACTAATGGTATCAAAACAGTCTGCCTCATTTTAGAATTGTGGATTTGGGTTTTCTTTGGGTACTGGTTTGTATTTTTGCTTAGTTTCGAAATAGGAACAATGATGGCTATGAAAGCTGCACCTGTGTGCACTTTGGTGCTTATATATTGTGTGAGTAGCACGGAAAAAAGTTTAGAGGAGGTTAAGTGTTTCTCGGGAATATATTTACGAGAGTATTGCTAAACTTAATTCTTCCTTCCCTTCTGAACTTCCACTTGAACACTATCTATTGCTGCTTGACTTGATTTTTATACCCTGTGCTTTCAATTTCTCATGTTGTGATACTCAACATTGGGATCTTTGCAGATAATTAGGCGGGCAAATGAACTTGGAGAAGATCCAATAAGTTTAAGTAATCGTTATTGCCAAGAATACCTCCATGACATGGAAGATCTTCAGTGCCTCCTTCCGACCCATCAGCCACGTGTATCTGATCATATGGAACAGATAAAAGACGTGATAACTCAGGTGCCTCTCTGTCTCTGTCTCTGTCTCTCTCTCTCATGATACTTGAAAAAGGTCTGTATAATAATGTGTGGGCAGGTGTATAGCTTCTTTCTCTTAATCCTTGTGAAGAAAGAGAAACTGAAATCACATTTTCATGAATAAAATAAAAAATAAACAAAAAGATATAATAGTAGCGTGTACCTTGATTTAAAATTCGCATATTGAGAAATTTGAGATGAAAGAAAGGTTTTAATTATAGCTGCTCGAAGGGTGTAAAATATTTCCATAGTTTCTTGATAAAGTATTATTTCACGTTTTTTGTTTTTGGTAGTTCTTCATTGTATAGTATGTACTAAAATGTAGTCGCACCTTGCTTTACATGGAGTTGATGCTCATCTGCACAATGATGTAATTAATCAATGGCAATTAGTCATCCTCTTTCAGAATTTTTAAACATTTTATTTTCAGTTATGCTACATGGTGGCTATTTTCTTAAGTTCAATATATTTGTCCTTTACGTATTTATTTGTGGAATCTTTTTGTATAATGCAGATCATCAACAATGGCTTTGCGTATCCTGTTGATGGAGATGTATTCTTTGCTGTTGATAAATTCCCAAATTATGGTCAATTGTCCGGACAAAGGTTGGAAAATAATAGAGCTGGTGAACGAGTAGCTGTTGATTCAAGAAAGCGTAATCCAGCTGATTTTGCATTGTGGAAGGTCTTAATTCGTCTCCAAGTTTCCCAATTTCTAATATCTGGTTAATATCTTAGAAAATATTTTATTTTATAATTTTTTGCAGGCTGCAAAGCCTGGTGAGCCTAGTTGGGACAGCCCCTGGGGACCTGGAAGACCTGGGTGGCATATTGAATGCAGTGCTATGAGTGCCCATTATTTAACATTCAAGTTTGATATTCATGGTGGTGGAATTGATTTGATCTTTCCGCATCATGAAAATGAGATTGCCCAAAGCTGTGCCGCATGCCAAGAGAGCGCTGTGAGTTACTGGATGCATAATGGACATGTTACTAATAACAATGAGAAAATGTCTAAGTCCTTGGGCAATTTCTTCACCATTCGCCAGGTAAACGTTGTCTTCTTAATGGTTTAGGAGCTTCAACATATTTTCAATCATATATAAGCATTTAATTTATTTCTTTTTCTTGTAGATAACCGAAAGGTATCATCCACTGGCTTTGAGACATTTCTTGTTAAGTGCACATTACCGGTCACCTCTCAATTACACAGTCTCCCAGTTGGATAGTGCCTCTGATGCGTTTTATTACATATATCAGGTTTGAAATCTTATCTAGGACTAAGAATTTTATTTGAAAGTCCAATCTATTAGGAATACAAGTGTCAAGTCATTGACAATTTCAGACCTCTCTTCTGCAGGAACTAATACTCCTTTTAAACCTTTATTTTAACCTCGGTAATTTATTTTAGTGGATGTTCGACCAAACTTTGGTGAGCTCCGTTCTAGATAATCCAATTCCCTGTTTTTCCCTTTAGTGGGAGGGCTTATACTTCCTGTTTTGTCGTTATTAGTAGAGGCAGTTGCACAAACCTTTTAAGTGACAAGTATTTATTGGTTTTCTTCCTGAAAATTCTATATTATAGCTATTGGTAACTAAATATGGGTTTCTTATTGTCCTCGATTTAGATATTGTTTTAGGTATCAATAGAAGTGGAGGCGCAAGGCATTAATATATTTGTTTCCTTAGAGCCATTAATGTAGTAACTAAATATGACAGCTATTGGTAACTAAATATGGATTTTTTGTTCTCCTCGATTGTTTCTTTGCATGTTTTAGGGATGAAAGACATTCACATCAAAATATGGGGAGTGACAACTGCCCTTGATGTAGTAAACCGGGTACAATATTTCATAGGATTATACTAAGCTTATAGCCATGATTAATACGCTTGTAACTACCAGGCATAGTGCTCAATTGCATCATACCTTATGGCCTATAGTGATTACATGTCACAACTATTGTCTATTTGAATGGATATGTTGGCTGAAAATGTTTTGCAACTAGAAAGATGTATCCTTTTGTGGCCAAGTCGATAGTAAGATATCCGTTTCGGCTTTATTTTCTGTGGAATATATTTGTTCTCTAACGCAATGGTTTAGTTTTTCTATTCTATTATATGATGGCTTGGTCTTTTCTTTTGATTGCTAGACTTTACAAGACTGTGAAGATGCATTATCGGCATTTCAAGAAGAGATCCCGAAGGAGGGAGTGGAACAAAGTGGCAGGACAATTCAGATCAATCCTGTTGATGCTCGAGAATGCATCAGTAAGCTACACACTGAATTTGAGACTAAAATGTCTGATGACATGAGCACTGCACATATGTTGACCGGTGCGTTTCAAGATGCCTTGAAGTTGATTAACAGTTCAATCAACGCAGTTAAGGTAATAGTTTTAAACAACTTTAATGATGATCCGTGTTCTCTCTCTCTCTCTCTCTCTCTGTAAGGAACTCTGTCTTTTGTAAATGTGTAAAAATAATTGAAACTTGCGATTCTTGGCAGAAGAAGCAACCAAAGAAACAGAAGCAGCAGAAGCAGAAGCAGCAAGAGCAACAGAATCAAGAAGAGCAAGAGAAGCAACAAAAGCAATTGATGATTCAATCCCTTGTTGAAGTGAAGCAGGAAGTTAAGAAAGTTCTTAGTATACTGGGTTTACTATCCTCAAATACATACTCTGAGGTGATATGGATTGTGTGTGTGTGTGTTTTTTTTTTTTTTTTTTTTTTTTTTTTTTTTTCAATTTAAAGCTGATGAGTTATAGCATGAAATTGACCAAAATTTTCCCTGCACAGGTGTTGCAGCAGTTGAAAGACAAGGCTTTGAAGAGAGCAGGTTTGGCTGAGGATGATGTGACGCAATTGATTGAGGCGAGAACAATAGCTAGGAAAAACAAAGATTTTTCAAAGAGTGATCAAATCAGAGCCGATTTGACCGCGAAGGGCATTGCCCTCATGGATCTTGGGAGGGAAACAATCTGGAGACCTTGTGTTCCGGTGGAACAACAACCTGCATCGCCCGTCGAACAAGACCAACAGGCATCGCTGGTATGAACGCGCTTGTAAACCACTGAATTTTATAGGACCCCATTAGCTAAGGATTTAAACTGTCCAAACTGCTTAAGAGCTATTTGGTTTAATTTGATTTTGTCAAAAATATCAAATCGTCTAAATGAAAAAAATTATATTTTTTATCAATATAATTCAAACATATCACACGTCTAAAAGTTCATCATTGGAAGTTTCTATTTTATCAGTGTAGAATATTTATCATGGCTAATAAAAATTAACATATATAAAAAACAATTTTAAAAATAAAATTTTGAGTGGATTATGACGGTTTAGGTGGTTTAAGGAGTCTAAACCATTAATCAAATTACCTGTCAAAAATAGGTTAAAAAATTGCCTAAATTGTTTAAAATCTAAAAATAATTAACGTTTTGGTTTTGTTTGATTTGAATTGAACGGGTTTGATGGAATTTTTTGAACACCTTTGATGTCATTAGTTGTTGGCTGGTATAATTATTTATCAATCCAGAAGCTAAAACAACGCTTAAATAGGCATATGGTGAGCGAAGTCATGTGACGGCGTCTTATTTTTGATGCATTAAGTTTTACTTTTCTTTCTAAAAGGAAATAGGACGTGGACGACAAAATACATGAACGTTTTCAATTAACTTCCCGAAATAAGAATATGGTATATTATCCTTATCGGAAAAGTTTTATGTAAGTTGTCAAATATGAGAGTAGTCTAAGATTTCGTTCACTTCGCGGATTCGAGTTTTTAATTCGAGTTGAGATGTGACATTTTTTGAGAGTTTTTCACTGTAGCAGAAAAAGTTGATGTGACATTTTCTGAGAGCTTTTAACTGTAGAAACCTAAAACTGAAAATTCAAATCGGTGAAATAAACGAGGCCGAAATATCTCCACCACTTTTGTATATCTAACAATAGTTTTAAAGTGCACTATAATGTCTTGACATGTACTATAAGTAGAGGCAACCTTTCTTCACCTAGAGGTACGGAGTGACTTTTTTTTTCTTCCCCACTTCTAACAAATACAAATTGTGAATTTCTTTCTAAAGAAACTGTTGACGGTGAAATCTCGTCAACAGAAATAGACCGGGTCACTTCTAGGTATCCCGTTGGATTACCGGCTTGATATTGACTCTATACTTAATTTATGCAGTGAAGTGTTTGTGGTATTTTTTGAGTGGTGAGCAATATAAGAAAAATATGCTTAAAGTAGAAGAACACACGAAATTTATAGTGGTTTACTCTGTTAATGAAAAGCTACATTCACTGTAGTTTTATATTTCTTTTGAAATTGTTACAATTTACATCAATTGTTGCTCTCTCGTTTTTTTTTCCCTCTCAGGACGCCCACCTCCTTCTTGTATGGGGTTTCGCCCTTTTTATAGCCGAGCTTCCTTCGTCGGATGGGTTTCCTTTGTAGGTAGAAGCACTCAAGTGGTCTGCCTTTCTAGGTCCAGACTGTAGCCCACTAATCACTTTTACAAACTGTTCACTAAGCCAATTAGTCTCCCATTACGGCTCTGTGCGTACCTGTAATCGTATTTTGTCCCTCGTAAGGCGGTTTAAGGGTTTGTAATTAATGCTTGTACTACAGACATCCTCCATTTATGCACCCAACTTGCGATGTCAGGCTTTCCCCTTTAGGGCATTCCTCTCGCCGTCTCTATTTGCTCAGCCTAGTTGTCTTTCTTGGCAATTGATTTTCTCCCAAAGGATTCCCGTCGTAAGGTCGACGGTACTACCTGTCGTCGTCATGAGGAGTCGACGTCCTAAGTTGGGCTTCTTTTGCAGCAGAAGGAAAGGGAGTCCTCAACGTCGAGGGTTGTTGCATTTTGAGGAAAAGTAAGGCCACGTGTCACACTGTTATTTTTTCATGCGTCATCCATATTTTTTCACACAATAGCTGCCCCCAGGTCGAGGGTTTCTTTTAGAGAACCTCGAGCTTAGGTTCGGTCGTACCTTCGTGCTTTGGGTGTGGGAACCTGATCCCGAGCCTTCGTCTGCAATGATGGTCTGGATGCTTCAGATTTTCTCGAGGAACGCAATCGTTGCGTCGGTCGCTTCCCCATGCTGACGTGAGGCCTCATTTCGAAAGGGCGAATGTGAGCCTTTGGATCGTGTCCCTTCATTTTCCCGCCTTTGTCTGTTGTCGTTAGATCTGGGCGAGATGTCCCTGCCATTGGATTTCATGAACTTCATCCAACGGTTAGGGGTTGAGGGCTTGTTTCCCTTTAAATATCCTTCGAACCGAAGCCATTCTTACCCAAACTTTTAGAACTGACGTTGCTCTGCCTGAATTTCTCCTTGGGAATTTCTAACTTGCGCTCTTTGCTTCCTTTGGTGTATCGTGAAGCTACTTGGTTTCCAAACTCCGTCCAGACTCTGACTTACCGGTAAGCTTTAATCATTGTTTATTTGTGTTGCTGGATGATTTTACTGGCTTTCCCAGTGAATCATATGCATGTGTTGATATGCAAAATGTAGAGGATAGTAACTTACTATGCTTTATTTGACCCACGTAGAATAATTTTTTCTGATTTCTGGTTGAATGTAAGTCTCTGGCTTCTGGGCTCTGATGAACCTTGGTTGTCACGAGCATTCGTCGTTACCATTTTTATATGAATGGTCGACGTTATGTTGAGGCATTTCAACAGTCGTCGTCTAGAATGGTCGTTGCTTAGAACGATCGTCTTTTTCCTTTTCCTCTCGACTTTAGGACTTTGATTTAGTTCATTGTCTTTTTAATTATCAGAACAATGGCCCAAAACCCCCCTGTCGAGACAATCCTTCCGCCGTCCGACCAGACTCCCCTTCTTTGGAGGAGATTTCATGGTCATCTTCTTCTTCAGGCGTCGACTCTTTGCTGAGGGAAGTAGAAGACGCTGAGGCCGTGTTTGGACCAGGCGATGAGTTCAGCGATGAGTTCGGTAGTGTCGACCACATGATAGACGAAGTGGTTGACAGAATTCCCTTCACAGGTGGCAGCGTAAGTGGGGTTGCTGCCTCGCTGGTAGATGCCCCCCTGGCTGCTACGAGTGGAGATCCGGACAGGCATTTCTTTACGGCCGACATCGTGGCGTCGATGGTCCGGAATAAGGACATTATCCGAGCTGTCAAAGAAGGTTGCATTGATGGGAGGTGGTTCGAATACCTCCTCCCGGATATGCATTTTAGGACTAGCATGCCTCCGACCGTATACCTCACCGTTTATACCAGAGCTGTCACGGCGGGGATGACCCTTCCGGTTCATCCCTTTGTAAAGGACTATTGCCATTTCTATAGTATCTCCCTTGCTCAGTTGGCGCTGAATTTTTGGTACTGCTTCGCCGGCGCCTGGATTTTGTGGAGTCAGCGGTTTGATGTTGATCTTCCGCTGGATGAATTTAGATTCATGTACAGACTGTGTCACGTCGCAAGGTGCGAGGGGTGGTACTTTTTGAGTGGGCATGGGAGATCTCAACCCAGGTTCGGAAAGCTAATATTGGGTATACTCTCGTCGTCACATGGGTGGAAACCTATGTTTTTTATGATACGTGGGCCTTTCAACTTTCATCCCGACGACCGCTTGTCCCGTCGAAGGAAGGTGCAAACGTTGTTTGGGAACATGGGTGAGATTGACTTCTCTTATTCTCTCCCCACTTTTCTTCTCTCCCCTTTTTTTTTTATGCTGACAATCCTTTTATCCTGTAGTTAGTCAAGACTGGCCGAAACTTGCTGGGAATAGATTGGCGAGGGTTGAGCAAGCTTTTTCGTTTTCGTCCGAAGCTCGTCATATTGACACCCTCCTGATCGAGTCCAATCTTCGAGAAGCTGGTTTGATTCTCGATCTCCCAGACCCCACCGTTCTTGACGCCGTTCGCGAATATTTCCATTTAACCGACGAATGTAAACTCCTGATCTTTGACGCCTTTCTTATTCTGGCATTCTATCCAAATGTCGACTATATTTTTGTCTCGTCGTTTGCACATAAATGGCGTCTTTGAGGATTCAGCTTCCCGGTAATCGGCCGCCTCAGCCAAGCCAACAACCTTTATCCTAGGGAAAGGAGAAAGCCAACTCTTCTTCCCAGGCGCCGAGAAAAAAGAAAACCACAAAGGCCCCTTCGGTGTCGGAGGAGGAGGTTCCTGCGCTGAAAAGGATACGCAAAGAGAAAGCGCCGATGACCGAAACTTGGACGCCGACGGTCCCAATTCCTGATGTTGCTGATGTTCCTACGGCGCCGAGGGAATGCATGCTTATCCCGGGGGCAAAAATCATGGATTCCAACTTCTAAGTCTCGGATATTTCTGACGCCGAGATTGGGGCTATGCTGAAACTTCCCCCTCGTTTCTCCCTCGTCTTCCAGGCTCTATATGAGTCTTTTCTCGAGCCGCACTGGATCGCTACCGCCCAGTCTTCTCTGGTTGATCGTCAACGCAAGCAGATTTCCTTCCAGATTCACGTAAGCCTCGATCGAGCTGCCTTTTCTTTTTGTTGATTTCATCCTCTGTATCTTTATTTTCTGACCTCCAATTTTTCAGGGTCTAGTTCTTGCCATTCTCAACCTAATTGATCTAGTCAAGGTTGAAGAACGTGATAAGGAGATGGACAGCGTGGAAGCCAAGCTTAACTCTCTTCTTGACGATGCCAAGAATAAGTGCTCGTCTACCGTCGAGGAGAGGGATGTGGCCGTGGCCCAACTGAGGAGTTTGGAAGGTGAACTGGCCAAGATGTCAAACCTTCAGAAGGAGCTGACCAATTTAACTACTGCGGTCGCGGATCTTACAAAGCGGGCAGAAATCTCTGAGAAGAATTCAGCCGAAGCTACCGAGGCGGTGAAGAGGTACTTTGCTGAAGGAAAAGCTGAGGGGAAGAAGGAAGCCGAAGCCGAGGCCGCATCAGTGTTCGACGCCAATCGTGTGGAGATCATTGATGAGTTTAAGGCTTCTCCGGAACTCATCGACATTCGCACTGAGGATTTTCACTCTGCTGGTCAATAAATCATCGATCTGATAAAACAAGAGCATCCTGAGTGGGATTTGAGCTTCTTTTATGTTGCTCCTCCTCCTCCTGCTGATGATGACAATTCTTCCTCGCCTGGTGATGGTGATAAGTCGGTGGCTGGCGACGAGGCCTAAGGCTTTCCTTTTTATATATTTTTGTGTAATGTGTGACATTTTTTTTATATAATATTTGGGATTTTTATATAATTGCCTTTATTGCTTTCCTTGCCCCTCCTCCTTGGAAGAGTCGGCGTTAGTTTTTGCCCCTTGGGGTTCGTTGTTTTAGAAAATTTCGTAAAATTTTCTAAGTTTTTTCTTGCCTCTCCTCCTTGGAAGAGTCGGCGTCATCTTTGCCCCTTGGGGTCGTCACCTTAGAAAATTTCGTAAAATTTTCTAAGTTTTTCCTCGCCTCTCCTCCTTGAAAGAGTCGGCGTCAGCTTTGCCCCTTGGGGTGTCGCCTTAGAAAATTTCGTAAAATTTTCTAAGTTTTTCCTCGCCTCTCCTCCTTGGAAAAGTCGGCGTCAGCTTTGCCCCTTGGGGTCGTTGTCTTAGAAAATTTCATAAATTTTCTAAGTTTTTTCTCGCCTCTCCTACTTGGAAGAGTCGGCGTCAGCTTTGCCCCTTGGGGTCGTTGCCTTAGAGAATTTCGTAAAATTTTCTAAGTTTTTTCTCGCCTCTCCTCCTTAGAGGAGTCAGCGTCAGCTTTGCCCCTTAGGGCCGTCGCCTTAGAAAATTTCGTAAAATTTTCTAAGTTTTTTCAGTGATCCGTAAATCCCTTACTGCCCCCGTTGTCTATTTAATATACCTTGATTTTTTAAGCAGACAAGTTTATTCGAGGGGTGAATTCTTCTTACTTTTGGACAATATTTTTAAAAACTCATCAATTTATTTAAATTGCCAAAAATATAACTAAGATGTGTAAAAAAATTACATACGTTATTGGTAGTACAACTTTAGCTGTTCTGCATTCCATGGATGCTGAATCTTCTTGCCGGAGAGGCTTTCTAAGATGTAGGTGCCAGGACGCAACACTTCTCTTATTCGGTAGGATCCTTCACAAGTTGGGCCCAGAGGGCCAGTATTTTTGGGTTTTGTACTCTGCGTCACCCTTTTTAATACTAGGTCTCCCGGGACGAACCTCCTTTGTCGAACTCTCTTGTTGTAATATCGCGCTGCTCTTTGCTGATAGGCGGCGAGACGTAGTTGGGAGTCGAGTCTCTTTTCTTCCAACAAGTTGAGTTCTCTATTCATGCCTTCTATATTACCGTTGTCATTGTAGACTACAGTTCTTAGAGTCAGCGTCTCAATTTCTATAGGCAGTACTGCCTGACGTCATACGCCATGGAGAATGGCGTTTCGCCCGTGGTACTTCGGCTCGTTGTTCTGTATGCCCACAAGACCTTGGGAAGTTCCTCGGCCCATTTTCCCTTTAGATCGTCGAACTTCTTCTTTTTGGGTATACTTTAATATTTTATTGACTGTTTCGACTTGCCTATTAGATTATGGATGTATCGGCGCCGACAAATCTTTTCGAATGCCCAAGCTGTCGCAGAATCTTCGTGTTGAGGCATTATCGAATTGTTTCCCATTGTCGGACACTATCGAGTGGGGGACCCCGAACCTGCACACAATGTTGTTCCACATGAAATTGGTGCAGGCTGCTTCCGTGGTTGTAGTCAGAGCCTTTGCCTCTGCCCACTTTATATAGTAGTCTACTGCGATGATGGCAAACTTAAAGCCTCCGGGTGCAAGGTGTAATGGCCCGATTAAGTCAACCCCACATTTGGCGAAGGGCCATGGACTGAGAATGGATGTTAGGTTTTCTGGGGGTGCTCCAGGAATTGTGGCATATCTTTGGCACTTATCGCAACATCGAGCGTATTGGTATGCGTCATTCTTAAGCGTGGGCTAGTAGTACCCTTGCCTCAAAATCTTAAGAGCTAAAAACTGCCCCCCTGTATGATTACCGCAGACTCTTTCGTGGATTTCCTGGAGGACCTTCTGGGCTTCGTTATTGTCCAGGCACCGCTGTAAATGTGTTGAATAGCCTCGTCGATAAAGTAAACCGTCGTACAATAAGTATATGGCGGCTCTATACCTGATCCGTCTGGCATCGTATTTATTATTTTGTAGTTTTGCATCCATCAGGTACTGGACGAGCGGCGTCATCCAACTTTCGCCTGTTTGGATAATTAATGTCTCAATTATTTTCTTAATGGTCGGCCGCTCCAGTTCTTCAATAGGAATGACCCCTAGTGCGTCGGAGTCTTTTGAAGATGCTAGCTTTGCCAGGGTGTCGGCGTTGGCGTTTTTGGCTCGTGGTATATGAAGCATCTCGTAGTTTTTGAACTTGACGAGTTCTTCCTTTACCTTCCTTAAGTACGCACCAATTTTCTCGCCGCGCGCTTGGTATTCTTCTTTCACTTGCCCGACGATCAATTGAGAGTCGTTGAAGATGTTGAGCCTTTCAATTTTCAAGTGACTGGCCAGTCGCAGCTCCGCAATTAGCGCCTCGTATTCTGCCTCATTGTTCGACGCCTTAAATTTAAATCAAACCGCCGAGGTAATCTTGTGACCTTCTGGGCTGATCAATAAGACGCCGGCTCTTGACCCGTTATCGCTCGACGGCTCCATCCACATAGAGCTTCCATTCTGTCGTCTCGACTTCTTCTGGTGTGGTGGGAGCCGGTTTATGGGAGAATTCAGCCAGAAAATCGGCCAGCGCTTGGCCCTTGATCGCTGCTCTTGGTACATACTTAATGTCGAACTGGCTTAACTCCACCGACCATTTGAGAAGTTGACCAGAAGTTTCAGACTTTTACAGCGCCTATCTTAACGGGTGATTTGTGAGAACTCGTATTGTGTGAGATTGAAAATTATGTCGAAGCTTCTTCGAGGCTACCATCAAGGCGAGGGCCAAGCGTTCCATTTCGGTATATCTTGACTCAGCGTCGAGGAGTTTTTTGCTCACATAGTAGATTGACAGCTGGATCCTTTCTTCTTTTCTTATTAGTACGAAGCTCACGGCGTGTTGTGACACGGAGAGGTATAGGCTAAGCTTTTCGTCAAGGATGGGCTTTGACAGGATTGGGGGCTTGCCCAAGTGCTCATTCAATTTCTGGAAGGCCTCTTCACATTGTGGTGTCCATTCAAAGCGCCTACTCCCTTTCAAAGCATCGAAGAAGGGGACGCACTTATCCGTCGCTTTTGATATAAATTTGTTTAGAACGGCGACGCACCCTGTCAACTTTTGCACCTCTTTTGGTTTAGTTGGGGACCGCATCCTGCAGGGCTTTAATATTTTCAGGGTTAGCTTCTATCCCCCGGTTACTGACCATGAAACGAAGAAATTTCCCTGATCCAACTCCAAATGCGCATTTTTGAGGGTTCAGTTTCATGTGGTATTTTCTCAGTATACCAAACATTTCACCCAAATGGTCGACGTGTTGGGTGGCCCTAGCACTTTTCACAAGCATATCGTCGACATAGACCTCCATTGATTTTTTGAGCTGTTGAGCGAACATTTTGTTCACGAGCCTTTTGTAGGTAGCCCCTGCATTCTTTAGGCCAAAAGGCATTACCTTGTAACAGTAGAGGTCCCTGTTGGTTATGAAGGATGTGTGCTCCTCGTCGGCTGGATGCATGGGGATCTGGTTGTACCCGGAGTAGGCATCCATAAAATTCAGCATTTCATGTCCTGCTGTAGCGTCGACCATTTGGTCTATCTGAGGGAGTAGAAAACCATCCTTTGGGCAGGCTTTGTTGAGGTCGTTGAAATCGACGCATGTTTTCCAACTTCCGTTAGGCTTGACTACCAACACGGGGTTTGAGACCCATCGCGGGTAATGGGCCTCCCTGATAAACCCATTGTTGATCAATTTGTCGACCTCTTTTTTTAGTGCCTCGTACCTCTCTGGGTTCATCGGTCGACGCTTCTGGCGCTTGGGGGGATATGAGGGGTCAATGTTCAGAGAATGACATATGATCTCCGAGTCGATCCCCTCCATGTCAGCATGATTCCAGGCGAAGACATCCAGGTTTTTCTTGAGGAAGCCCTCGACCTCAACCCTAAGTGATGGGGTTAGGTCTGAGCCTACTTTCAGTATTTTGGTTGGTTCGCCCTCATCGACTCGAATCTCCACCAACTCCTCGACGGGTTGAGACCATGTGACCTCCTCTTAGATCCTGGGATCTATGTCTTCGACAATACTTTGATAAACCATCCTGGCCTCCTGCCTTCCTGGCTGGTTATATCCGCGCAGGGAATCAGAGTACGCAACTTGGAGGGTTGGCCTTCCAATCACAGCATTGTACTTGGAGCCCCCCTTATTACCACAAAATTAGCCATTGTGGTGGCCTGTCGAGGTTTCTCTCCTGCGGTTATGGGCAACCGGATAGTCCCCTGAGGGATGACGGAGTCCCCAGTAAAGTCGTACAACGGCCTGGAGGTCTTTTCTAGCTGCTCCTTTGAAATCCCCATCTTTTTCAGGCAGTCGGAGTATAGGAGGTCTACTGGGCTCCCATTGTCCACTAAGATCCGGCACACAGTATGGTTCCCGATCATGGCTTCTACCACCAACGCGTCGTTGTGGGGGAAGTGAATTCCGCTGGCGTCGTCCTCATTAAACGCTACGTCAGTGCTTCTGAATCTTGGCATTTTTGAAGCGGAGACACTCCAGAATCTTTCCTGGTAGACCCCTCTAGTCTCATGGGCGTAGTCCTTCTGAGATCTCCTTGAGTCTCCTCCTATATAGGGGCCGCCGAGGATAGTTCGTATGACGCCGACGGGTTCTCGGTCCTCTGGGCACTGGTTCTCCTCTCGGCGTCGACCGTCATTCTGGCCGTCGTGGCCATCGTTTCTAGGTCTCTGCTCGGCTTTGAACTCCTGCAGCTTCCCCTCGCGGATTACTCTCTCGATCTCATCTTTAAGATCGACGAATCGTTGGTGTGGTGGCCGACATCACCGTGGAACCTGCAGTATTTTTTCTGGTTCCTTCGGCTGGAGTCTGACCTCATTGGCTCTAGGCGGCGCAATAGATTCTCACGGCCGACCTGATTGAACACTTCTTCGGCTCTTACTGTTAATTCATGGTAGGAATCGTACCTTTGAAACGGTCGAGGCTTACGGTTCTCCTCTTGCCTCGGCTTCTTAGCTTCTGGAGTGTTCGACGTCGAAGCGGGCTGCTTGTCCCCGCTCCCTCCACCTCGTCGCTTCTTTCCATCCTGTTTTGTTGGCGTCGACCCTTGTTCGGCCCCCTTGTTTTTATTGGACCTGTGCTCAGGGTCGTTCGCATCCGCTTCCTCGGCGTTTATGTAGCCTTGCGCTCGTGTAAGGAATTCCTTATAGCTGGACAGGAGCTTTCGGTTCAGCTCTCTCTTGAAGGGGATAATTTTCTTCATGCTAGACAATGCCCCCATCAAGGCCTCCCGGTCGGTTATGTCCATCGTGGCGGCGACAGCTTCCCCATATCTTGCAAGCCACTCTCTCAACGACTCGTTTGGCTTTTGGTATAGCGTCGTCAGATTCTGCTTTAGGGGGACATACATTTTAACCCCTATGAACTGGAGGGAAAATGCTTCCTTCAACTCATCCCAGCTTGAGATAGAGTTTGGCTTCAGCGTCCGAAACCATCTCGGGCAGAGTCCGTTAAATGGTTCCGGAAGGCTCGGCACATAATCTCCTCGGCATACCCATGTAAGAGCATGTGCCCTGCGTACATCTCCAAGTGATCGTCGGGATCCCCTCGACCATCATATGGTGGGATCGACGGCGACCTGTATTTATCGGGGAGAAGTGGCGCCATTATTTCTGCGGTAAATGGATGGTCGTGTGTGCGGCTAGGTGTGATGTCGACGTTTACCACCTCGGCCACTCGCCCTATGTTCTTTTTTAGGCCGGCGACGTCGCCCGTGAGTTTTTGCTCTAGGTTGGCCATACGTTCCATAATAGCGCGCGCTTCTTCTACCGAAATGGCTGAGCCAGCTACTCTCGACGCCTCTGCCCTTTGGACGTTGGGTCCGCCTCTTGCCTGCCTGTACTGACCCTGAGTCTCCCGGTGGGTTTCCTCCTGGGTTCTGGGGCAGTACCTCGGGGTTCCCCAGGCCTCTCGCTATTCGATCCTCAGGAGCCCGAAGCCCGACGGCCCTTAGACGGCTGCCGGAGGATTGGGAAGGTCGAGGCCTAAGATGGTCTCTATGATTTTCACTGTCCCCGATTCCTTCTAGGTCATGTTGGCGGTCACCGGGGTTGTGGTTTTCAGCCATGGCAGCTCCCAGCGGCCTCGGGGCGTCTTCTAGAGGCGGCATAGAGTTCCTTCCGTCCAAGCGCTTGACTACGACCATTAGTCCCCGTACCAGGTCGGTTAGTGTGGTTAGTTGGGCCTGCATCTGCACAGGGTCCGGCCGTAGCACGTCTGGGGGCGGAACTTCATTTTTGACCAGAGGTGGACCTTCCTCCATCCCGTCATTCACCGGATGTGTGGCGGTTTCGTCCATTTGGCTGCCTTGGTTGATGGCCTCAATCTTTCTTCTTGAGGGCATGCTTGCTGACTATGTTGTTGTTGGGGGTCGAACGCATGAACCAGAGATTCTAGGTTCGGTCCCCAGCGGAGTCGCCAATTGTTGACGGTGAAATCTCGTCAACAGAAATAGGCCGGGTCACCTCTAGGTATCCCGTTGGATTACCGACTTGATATTGACGGTATACTCACTTTATGCAGTGAAGTGTTTGTGGTATTTTTTGAGTGGTGAGCAATATGAGAAAAATATGCTTAAAGTAGAAGAACTCACGAAATTTATAGTGGTTCACTCTGTTAATGAAGAGCTACATCCACTGTAGTTTTATATTCCTTTTGAGATTGTTACAATTTACATCAATTGTTGCTCTCTCGTTTTTTTCTCTCTAGAAGCCCACCTCCTTCCTGTATGGGGCTTCGCCCCTTTTATAGCCGAGCTTCCTTCGTCGGGTGGGTTTCCTTTGTAAGCAGAAGCACTCAAGTGGTCTGCCTTTCTAGGCCCAGACCATAGCCCACTAATCACTTTTGCGAACTGTTCACTCAGCCAATTAGTCTCCCATTATGGCTCTGTGCGTACCTGTAACCCTCTTTTGTCCCCCGTAGGGCGGTTTAAGGGTTTGTAATTAATGCTTGTATTGCAGACATCCCCCATTTCTGCACGCAACTTGCGATGTCAGGCTTTCCCCTTTTGGGGCATTCCTCTCGCCGTCTCTATTTTGTCTTTCTTGGCAATTGATTTTCTCCCGAAGGATTCCCGTCGTAAGGTCGACGGTACGACCTGTCGTCGTCATGAGGAGTCGGCGTCCTAAGTTGGGCTTCTTTGCAGCAGAAGGAAAGGGAGTCCCCAACGTCGAGGGTTGTTACCTTTTGAGAAAAAGTAAGGCCACGTGTCACACTGTTGTTTTTTTACGCGTCATCTACATTTTCCCACACAACAAAAACGATAGGAAAAGAAACGATACGTACTCATGCTGATAACGTATTATAAATTGAGGATAATATATATACACATACATATATATACACACTCTATTATATAAGCAAAGCAAATAAATAGATGTAGAAAGAGTATTTTATTAAATTTTGGCATTCCTTTTTTTTTTTTCTCTTACACTCTTCTTCTCACTTTTTTTTTCCTCTTTCTCTTATAACTCTCGTTGATGGTTGGTAACTGCAAGAAGAAGAAGCAATGTCTATTCATAGTCTAAGGATGAGGCCATAAAACTATACTTCATAACAAGTTGTATATAAATTCATTTTCATACAAAAAGTTTTAACAAAACTTTTATCAATGAAAGTTGTTTTGTGGAGAAAAAGTATGATCATCCAAACTTGTTTCCAACAGCTACAAATATGTGACTGACTAAATATGCCCCGATGTTTGTGAAAACTGGAATGGACTGGATCATACACAGTATTTGGGCCCACTCAGGCCAGAATGATGACAGATGCTCCAACTCATATTGTGGCACAAACTTCCTTCTTGATGATGTTATTTTTATTTTCATTTTTAATTTTTTTGGGGGTGTGCGTAACCTTTCATTTAGTTCTGCGATTAAGGATCTTCATAATTAGGAACTCACATTATTGAGTAATGCCTCCCTTGTTGGAATTATCACTTGCGAAAACTCTGATTTTTGAGACACGTACCTAGTACGCAGCTTAGGTCAAACTTCTATTCATTAGATCACACAAAATTTTTTTCTTTTCACACCTTAAATCACAATTAAATTTTTTTTTTTGGTTATAGTATTTTATCTCACAAAAATTTAAATTTAACTTTTTACTATAGTATTTTTTCTCACGTAAAAAAGTTAGAATTGTGATTGAAGTGTATCCAGTATCACACATTATGTAAGAAGTCAAAAATCAAATGCTATATTTCTTATCCCAAGTCTCGTTCTTCCATTATGAAAGGAAGAAAATCAACTAGTAAAATTACATGACGCTTCTCTATGATTATAATTTCTATCCTTTATGTGTGGGTAATTAAATCCTGTTGTGAATGTTTGGGTGATCATATGTTGCTTTTGTTAATAACTTTCATTGAAAGAAGTTTTGTTGTAACAAGTTTCATTGATAAAAGTTTTGTTGAAACTTCTTGCATGAAAGGAAATTTCCTTGCAACTTCTCATTAAGTAAGAAAAATTATTTATTTACCTTACTTATATAATAGGCCCCTTCTTCTTCTTGGAACACACAAGCTATCAACCGAAGTTGTAAGAAAAATTGAGAGAAATAATTTTGAGAGAATAGATAGAATAAAAAAATAGTGCATAATTAATAATAGTATTTTCTATATATATTGGTCTCTTCGCTTTATTATTTATTTACCTTACTTATATAATAGTACATATATATTCTCCAATTTACAACAAATCCTAATTTTTTCTAATTATTTCTTCTTTAATGAATGAAGATCACGGAACAACTAGCATAAAAAAATTAGGAACACATCTCAATTAAACTGACATCTGATACTAATCAATTCCATACTTAGAACCCTGTTATTTTTAGACTTGATCAGCGTCTGAGGCTTGAATATTTTCTGATGCCATATTAATTGATTTTTGGCATGTAGAATCTTTTTCTTAACAATTTTTTCCTTCTTCAATTGATCTTTGTTATTCCAACGACAAATAGCCATAGATTGCCAACTGATTTGCAACGAGAGCAAACCATTGGCAATTTTTCATATTCAGCATTTATAGAGCATGAACCCTTCCGTTTCAAAACGAGGCACTTAAAAACATAAAATAAGGGGTAACATTGAAAAATACTCCTTAAAAATACATGAGTCAGGATTTGTACTCTTTATTCTTAATTTATAACCTTTTTAGTTAAATAATTATATTAACAAAATAATATTTATTAAGAATAAGAGATAAAAATTCAGACTCATACACTCTCAAAATTCTCAATTTTTTCTAAAATAAGACTATACAATTAGATTGTCGAGGGGGCCGATTATGGAATGGTAACGCAATCGTTCTACGTTGGGCTTGTGGCTTAAATTAAGCCCATAAGCATTGATTTGTTTTTTGTGGCCCAAGGCCCATATCTTTCCCTTCCTTTAGTTGTTGCTGACTTTGACTTGGAGAAGCATTATACATGCTATCGAATCGTTCGCTTCGCAAATTTAAATTTTTAATTTAAGTTGAGATGTGATATTTTTTAAGAGTTTTTAATTATAGCAGAAAATGTTAGATGTGATATTTTCTTATAGTTTTTAACTGTAGAAACTTAAAACTGAAAACTCAAATCGGTGAAATGAACGAGACCTATAAATCAGAACCGCACATGAGGAGTAGCAGCGGCATGTTTAGGTATCCCATTAATACATATTTTCTCTTTTGTTTCGTTTGAGTAAGATTTAGTTAGAGAACTTAATTAATTGATATTTGGTATTCTTACTTTTGAGTTGAGAAATTTTGAGTGTATTTAAAATTTAGGTGGTGAGAGATATTTGATAAATTTTTATAATTTTTTTTATTTATAGTGGAATTTTTTCCCTGTTTCTGTTCATAAACATAGGTCTAAAATTTAATTACATTAAATTCTTCTGTCTTTTGAATTTTTCTGTTATTTATATATTACCTTTAAATCTGTTTAATTTGACGTTCAACATAACAAATCTACTGTACAAGATCCTGGATTCAAATCAATCCTAATTTCCATATATAGTCAGGGTATATATATACACTTGTCTGTATGCCATCGGAAAAAAAAAAAAAAAAGAAAAAAAAAAAAAAAAAAACCGACACTCCACAATTGTACCACGAACGCAAATATTGTTAATTGGGTTCCATTTGTGAGATAGCGTGTGGGTTAATCTAGCCCTTTTATTTTCTTGACGATTTCACTATATCACTAAGGTATGTCTCGCGGGTTTAACTCTAGCAAAAAAATGCGCACTTATCTGTCGTTGTGTTCGCTGGCAAAGGGGTTTTCAGATATACAGAATTTCTACATGGTTTTCTTTAGTACTATAAACCCCACATGGTCATAAAGTCGTGGGTACAAATTCTTTTT